CAGACCTCGCGCAGCAGACATCGCCTCCGCCAGAGGGAGCTGCGGAGTCGGTGGCCTGCGCGCGTTGCGGGTGGGTCTCGCGGCTGTTCTTGCGGCCTCCGTGAGCGGTACCTAAATATTTTTTTTCTTTCCGACGGTGCCCGGATGTCGTTGATTTCGGTGTAGCAGGCTCGCCCTCTGCCACGTGAACTGATCCACTTTCTGAACTCTATATTCACTTCTCTTCCAACCTTCAATCACCAAAACCGTGAATCCTCTAAACTAGAACATCTACACCGCCAATGGTGGCTCAGGGCATGAACTGATCTTTCTACCTTGCCCGAGAGGTTCGATTTGCGACTGTGGCAGGATTTTCGTCACTAGTTACAAAGATAGGTCGAATTCAGGCTCCCCCTGGAGGAGATTTCTAGCGGCCGGTTGCTCTCATAGGTGGTTTTGCGTGGTTTCTTCGAACACCGGGCGAATGCCGGAGCAGTACCTAACAAACGGATCAAGGACCGCACGCTATCTCTCCTTCCTCTTTCTTGTCCCATCCTTATCCCTTACACATAAATTTACACGCACTACACTGACACGCGTCCCGGGAGACCAGTCGTGGTTTAGGTCTCGTCCGGGTAGGGGCGGTGCCCCGCTGGTGGGAGATACCTTGTTGAGGGAAAGTCCACTAGCTGATTTGCTTGGTCGTCGCTGCACCTCGCCATAAAGCGGGGGAAGATGACGGATTCCCGCGACAAAAACATTCATTACACTTACGGGACTAATGAAATTAGCAGTTGACGCTCCCAGAATGACTAACCAATCAATCAATCAGTTGAATATCTAGTCTCAAATCTCCCCGATCTTATTATCTGCTCATTGCTCCCGAGTCTCCTACATCCGAACCTACCTAATCGTAGAATACTCTCTAATCCTGGAATCTCTCTAATCCTGTAATTGATCTATTCACGCAATTTACCTTTTTGTTACTGAAAAGTTGTATTTGTAGAATCCTTCTAACCCTGGAATCTACAGTCTCCGCATCCCTCCAGGCCACGGATCCCGCGATTTTCTTCTGGAAATGTCTCATCTGAATTTTCCGAGATTCTAGTGCCGAGAGCTTCGCCATCTGAATCTATCGAATTCCATTTGATATTTTGTTCATGCATGGAACCTAATACTTCCATTTTACTCTCTATTGTTTGGAAAGTGTTATTTTACGTGTACGTAAAAGTACGACATAAAAACAACATTCGCAAATTGCACGAAAAGGGTTTTTGGCTCACTTTTTTCCAAATACCGAGTCGGGTATCACACCAGTCATCGCCTCGTCCGACATTTCATGCGTACGCCAACCTCTCATTCTTTACTAGTTACGACAATAACTATTTTTTCGTTGCTTTTCTCAACTTTCCGCCATTGTGTTGTGTTGAACAAATTACCGTAATTAACATGTACCACGGTTTCTTATCATTTTTGTTCGCGTATTTGTACATTTCTGGAACAGTCATAACAATTAGTAATTCCACCGCATCGTTTCGAGTTGCGTCCAAAGAAAACCGCTTCTTCGAATCCCTGTAAAGGCTAATGCACTTCGGTAGCGATAGGCGCTTTTGAGCATCCCTCTTGTTCACCTCTGCGAGCACCATTTAGAATACATTTCTCAAAAGTAGTCATGTTCAGTGCGAGTTGAGTGCTTGCCCTAGGGGCGCCCTCCCCGGCCGCTTGCGCCGCGCGGTGGAGAGTGCGCAGCCGACGGCCGTCGAGCGCAAGGAGGCTCGCTGGGAGGGCCACTGCGCATGCGCCAACGTCTCTGGCAGAAAACATCGGGCAGCGTGAGGCGAGCTAGCAGTACAGGTCGTTCTGGCTGCCTTAGTAATTTCTTACATTGCTTTCCATGGGTACTGTTTTACAATTTCTCATGTTTTATTTTGTGTCGAGGCTTTCTGTCGAAATGCTAGAGTTGATGTGTTTGAGACAGCGTTCAGTCTCCACACTCCCTGACAACAGTCGTGTGCACCAATTCCTCTCGTAAAGTTCTGTTGATTGTGAGAGATTTGGTGGCATTGCATAACATATTTTCTGAATTTAACTAGCAGCCAGTACTGTTTTGCCATCTGTCTGTAATCGCGGTGTTGAAAAACTAAAATTGTTTCTTTTGCTTTGCAGGTTGGTAGCTGTTGTGGACTCTTAGTGTCGAAGCTTCCAAATCCCTGCAGCAACAACCACGAATTACTTCTACTTCGCCAGTGCATCATTGTCAACTGCGAAGTAAGATACTACTTTTGAGTAAGTTTAGAAACTTTCAAACGGGGACGCGCCGACTGGTGCCTGATGTGGTGTTCTATGTAAGGAGCCACGAGGCAATGTATGAGTGAATGGGTTGCACTGGCCAAGAGCTCCGCAGCTTGCCGCGGCTGCACCGCATACAGGTCAGCAAGAAAACTCGTATGATAAGCTCAAAGCTAAACTTTTAGAGGCATTAGGCAGTGTTTTGAGGAGCAGGGAAACGCAAGTATGGCTGCCTGCAGGTGTCGGTGTTCGGTTGCACAATTGTCTGAACGCGTCGAAAAAACTATGCCATTGTGCAATGAGTACACAGCTAATTCTTTTTTTTTATTGATTGTAAGATAGCCAGAGTGTGAATGAGCTGTATGCCATTCCGATTTGGCGTCTCAAACTGTACGTCATATCGAATTCAAAGTGTCATTTTGTTAATGCCCTCTTGTATGACGAGTTCAAAGCTACGTTTTTGGTCTAATGGTAGAAAATTATGTTTTATTGCTTCTTATGACATTCCGTGCCGTTCGAGGTCTCCAATTAGCCGCAGTTTCAGCTTCGAGCTGATGGTACGTGGTTTTTCGTGCTGGCTCCCACCTAACAGCGAAGGCGACGGGGAGGCCGCCCTCCCGCTTCCTTCTCTCCTCCGGGCGAGTTGGTGCGCTGGTGTCACTCAGTGTAGCAGTGGAACCGTTGGCGCCAAAAGATGGACTCGCTGGAATTTTCGCTGGAATTCAGAGACTCGAAGATTCCTCAACAACCTCCTGTGCTGATTCTCAGAAACACTCAAGAAACATTTGTTCGCTTCACTTCACGCAGATCACGCCGTCTTTTTCTCTGGAAATGATTCGTCCTTTTATATCTTCTTATGAAGTTCGAAAATTATCTAGCAGTTACTCGTGTCTTTTACATCAATCAATCAAATCAATTTAGATGGTCATCAAAAATAGTCTTGGATCATAATTAATGAAAAGTAATGTACAAGTAATTGTATACTAAGTTTTGACTAAATTAAAACCTCAATTTCCTGAAATATTCAAACTGATAGTTTTGACGAATATCCGGGTGAATGAATCAAAATATTACCTTCTTTCTAATGTAACTTTTTGAGCACTATTAGAAACGGTGATATAATGATGGGTATTAATACAAGTGTGATGTTACGATACGAGCGAGTATCAAAAACTGCACACGGTGTATTAATACCCATTACATCGAGTTTCATTCTGTACCTTTTCTACGACTCTTGGTAACGTTTTTAACTTAAACTTTTACACCGAATCGGTTCGTGGCAGTTGACAATCCAGGGCCACCTAGCGCACAGCCCCCTCCCTACCCCGCCGCAGGTGGCTTTGGTTTAGGACAACAGGAGAAATTACGATCCCATTGATTTTAAAGAATATTACACGAAAAAATACAAAAAAGAAAGAAAGTTAAACTGACAATTATCATAATATTAAATGCAATTTTAAATGTACACAACCGAACGAACATTTACTAGAACGATTCCCAATGATACTAGATCAACTCATGATGTGTAAACTTCTCAGTGATTGGTCAAGAATATGTGTCATAATTAAATATGTATAGTAATGAGTATAATATGCAACGGGTTGCAGCTATCAAATGATAGCATTATAGAATGGGAGTAGAAAATATTGCGCAAAGCTTCGACGTGTAATGTGTACGTAAATTAAAAGATTATTCCAACAATTTTCTGCTCTCTGGAACCTGATTCTTTGTTTTTCTTACTTTGAGTTACACACTAACATGTTAGAATTGTACGAGGAACTAACTGTTCTGTTCAGAGATGCAGCAGTGTGACGCACGAGTTGTGTTCCATTCTGTTTAATAGATTCAGGTCAACGCAGTCAATTGACAAATGTTCGAAAGTGACGCTGCAGTTTCTCCGGCGAATGAAAAGGGGAGTTGAATGAAAGTCAATTTGGGAGAGGCAAAGGGCTGTTGTGTATTAGAGTATTACGTGCAGTGGAAATAAAAACACATGAACAAACATCGTCGTTAAAAATTATATTACCTAAATAATTTTGAAGAATATAATTTTCTGGAGATCACAACTAGTTTTTTGTTTCTTAAAATATGATAACGAATGCTGATGCTTATCGCGCCTAAAGAAATGGATTTACTTGTATTGTTCAAATGACCGCTTAGAAGAACAAAATTAAACTGCTTAAAATTAAAGTGCTCTGGAGAGAACGATTTGGTTTAATTTTCTTTCTTGTATTGTTAGTTAAAATTAATTAGGTCAAAGCATATTGAATCCACTTCCTGGAACACTTGAATGGACTTTTTATTAGTCCAAATTATCTCGTTAGTGTTTGTGTTTCTGCAATCGCGATTCAGGCTAAAACATATTACTTGATGTTATTCTAAGGGTCATTACAATAATTTGTTCTCATGATGTAGTTTTAGTTTCAACGATTGTGAAGAACAAATGAATGTTGCCACAGATTTGTCACAAAATGATATGTAGTAGATAACAACAAGAATAATCTAAAGCATTTTTTAGTGAAATGTAGTTTATTTGCTTGGAGATAGCGAACCATAAATATGAGTTCTTATACGCGTTTCGCATCCTCTTAAGCTCGTAAGCTACCGTTGCGCAACATCGTCTTCAATTCTTCGGCTTCCTGGAGGAGATGCGAAGATTGTTTATTGAAGTTGCAGGCTTCCTTGCAAGATTGCTCACGTTTGTCGCTTTGCCGCTAGTTGATTAAGTTCCCAACCGCATTGTTTTTATCTGATCCGTTGTATTCAATTGTGGTCAGAACGAATAAACCAAGACCTGCGTTTGCATTGCGGTGGAAACTACTAAGCATTGCATCTTCTTGTGCTAAAAGTTAGTGATATGCTCCTTGTGCAATCCATTTCAAAAGACAATTTGGAGCAATTAAAAATTCCTTCCGTTGTTATCTAATAATTCATTTTAGTTTTTACCTTCTCCTATATGCCGGAGTAATATTATGGAAAATATATAAAGTTATGTAGTACTGCGGCGAAGAGTGCCATTTTTCGTTTTGTAGCTTCTTGATACAGAAAAAGATAATTTTTCCATGCTACTGCGCGAAGTAAATTACTTTCTTTAATACGAAACTTACTCATAATGCACTTTTTGTTTCAAATATAATATTCAAGAATATTTTGCATTTTATGAGAAATCTCTAGCAATGCAGCGTTAGTGAGCAGGAACGGAGGTATCGTTCTCGTAGAGCCGGAGTAGATAAAACATCTTTACATTCGTTTGGTTGTAGCTTTCCGACCAGCGCAAGAAGCCTAGAGGACCAGTTCCCGTGCTTCCCGCCTGCGCGCCCCTCAACTGGGCGATTCGGAGGGCGATTGGGGCGCGCGCCAGCAGCTGATTACGTTAGGTGTACGGGCTCCCGCTACAACGTACGATCCGGCGCCCACCTACCGTCGGCTAATGCGATTTCCCTCAGCCAGGTATCTCCCACCAGCGGGGCAAGCTCTAAGTTCTCACTTGTCTCCCGACATGTGTGGTAGTGCAGTACATGCGAGTGTTTGTGTGTATGCTTGGATGTATTTAGAGTTGCCTCTGACGTAAATCTGCTGTTACGGAGTCATCCAATGGGAAGGTTGAGCGCCACCATAGTGACGTGAAAGCTCCCGAATGCATCACAGCCGATGTCCTGTCAGACGCAGCTGTAAGTAAATCGCAGTGCACGTGTGGGGTGAGGAAAGAAGGAAGAACCGCGCGCGTTGATGGGAGAAGGCGCGGAAGACTCCCGACCAGCAGAGGCGGTCGCGAGAATGCCGGTGCAGCTATGCGGTGGCGCAACGCCCTGGAGCAGCACCAACCGCACGCGCTGGTGCACGCGGGGCCGTGTCAGGCCACGTGGCACCAGCGGGCTCTGCCGCGGCAGTCGGTCTTCGGCCTGGCGGCGGCGGCGGCGGCGGGTGGAATGCGCGCCCACGTGTTGTGCCCTAAAAGGAACTTCCCACGCGCAATTTACGATCGATTATGTTGACAATATTGGGTATATTGACACCAACACACGCGGAGCCATGGCGGCCTTTTCCTAAATTTGGATTGCATTGGGCTCATAATGATATTGACAAATTTAGCCATGACTTAGTTTATCCTTCGGCGCTGCCGTTCACAGTGGCACATAGACCGCTTTCTCCAATTCGCGGTGTCTCAGAACATGATACATGTAACCACCCGTAACTTTATATGTCAACATGCTAACTTCAAAAATAGGAAAAGAAAAAGTAATACGAGGAATGAAACAGAAGTCAGGATAACTTTTTTCTAAAAGAAATGTTATCAGATATCACAATTTTATTTGTCGCGTGAATGAAACGCTGTATCAATGCGTTTCCACAAAAACAGTTGCATCTGCTAGTGTGTCTATTAGCACAGAGAGCGATGTAAAATCCGTTGACTGACTGACTGCCGCCGTCCGAGATGAATGTAACCCGTTTCGAGCAGCATTCATACACCAAGATAGCCGTTCTTCATGGGCGAAATGCCCTAGAATGCCAGAGGGAATTGGAGGAAGCTCTTGGGAGCAACGCCCTTCCATACCGGCCAGTCGGGAGATGGGCAGGAGAGTTTCTGCGAGGGCGCCTAGCAGCCAGTGATCAGCTGCGCACGTGTTGGCTGAGTGTGCGGGAATCGAGCATTTGCCTAATAGGGCCTTTAGAACGGTACGTAATGCTTTTGGGATGTTGTGAACTCGTGTATGCTATAATGCTTTGCTATAGAATATCTTAATAAATATGAGAATCACAATTTTGGTGTGTCGTTAAATGTTCATTTAGTTGGTTCATACCTTGCTCTTTCATGTGTATATTTCACATTTTCCACCCGTGCTTGTATTCCCCCAAAAAATGCTCACACGTGGAATTTTAACACCTTTATTTACTATCTGGCCAATCCATTGATTTTACAGAGCTTTGCATGTAATATTGCCAGAAGTGGGTTAGGGCATAGGCACGTTCATTATATT